GTTGTTGGGTTCAATCTGGGCTCATTTAAAACCAGTTTCCATAAATGAAGGTCCTGCAGAGAAGTCTCAGACTCCAAGGGCATGCCAACCTCTTCCTTGCTGTTTGGTTCTTCAAGACTAAATGACACAAGACCTGTGGTCCTGGTGACATGTGTGACAAGAATTTTACTTAAGAATGATGGATTTACAGATTGAATTCCTGGTATCCCATTTCTCTTTCCTGCAAAGCTTCTTTTATCTTTTTGCCAAATAGCTGCCCCTGTGTGAGATCTTTCAAACAGAGAGCCTTTTCCTGAGCTAGAGCACTCTCTGTACCATTTTCCCATGCTCTATTTTCTAGATTATGTGGTCCAGAATGAATGCAAAGTTGATAGGCATAGGCCACAAAACTAACATATGTTTCTGATATTCTACTCAACCCTGTTGTAGACACAGGCAAAAAAGAAAGACAACTCTCCTGTTCAATCAACAGAGGTTTGGGTCAAAGAATGTGTAACATCATGGCCAAGGTATTTCTTCACACTGTGCAGTCTGTGAACATCTTTTTATTCTTCAGGCTGAACGCTTTGAAATCTCTAACCAGTTTCATGTCCTTTTTACCACTAGACTTAAGAGCTGCTACAGCAGCTTGTCCTCATCCTCAGCAAAAATTAGCAGCTTGAAGGCACCATGCTATTCCTGTAGCTGACTGGAGGTTGGTTATGCTGAACCGGATCATTAGTGTTCTTCTAGCAAGTACTAGTTCTGGCCTCCATCGTCATTGAAAGAAGTGTCCTGGGAGTGTTTTGTTTCAGAAAAGACACCCCCAACCTAGTCACCAGCATGGGATGGCATAAATACTGCCCTTTGGTCTCTGTTTCCCAGGACTTCCCTCTGCACAAGGGAACCCCCAGGAATCCTGTTAAAATAGTTCAGTAGCTGTTTGATATCTTCAGGCAGATGATATGCCATTCAGCCCTATAGTCATGGATTATAATACTGCAGATTACAGATTGAAGACCACAGTGATTTGTAGCAAGCCAGCTTTGTGACAGGCAGTGGTCTTATCACAGTAACATGGCAGCCCACATGAAATCATTTCCTCCAGAAGTGGTGAAAAGAGGCCACACTGTGTTTGGTAACACTGTGCCTAAGCTGAGCTCGCTCCCCTCTCAGGCTGTTCTGGAGCTAGCACAGCACATCTCCATGCTGATCTGCAGTTTGCAGAATTCAAAGCTGAAGGAGATGGATGACTGCAATAATCAAGTGTGAATCTACTCTTACCTAACACTGCTGGGGTAATAGGCCCAGTAAAATTTTTCAACCCAAGGCCAAAAAAATTATCTCTCTCTTTTCCTTTCCCTCCCTCCTTTATTGACTTCATAGAAATTGCCTCCAGCAATTCCATATACATTAGAGAAGGAACACAACAGACTGTACATTGCTTGAGCATTATGACACTCCAGGTGTGCATGCTCAGACATGGGCAGCTGAAAAGAGGATGACAGGCATGAGTACAATAAGACTGGCAGAAATTACACTACTTGTGATTAGTGTGAATCCCTATTGTGAGGCAAAAATGATGCAAAATAGAGAGACAATAGAGAACAGGGAGAGCTGGTGTATGAACAGACTTTTATTTGCCATTGCTGATTCTGGGCTGATGTGATGGAGAAAGTCAGTGGACCAGATAATCAAAATTCAGAGGACAACAAAAAAATCCTTAATAATACTCCTAATTAAAAATCCATTTATTTCGCTTGTCAAGTAGTAAACTGACAATTCGATCTTCCTGACAAATTATTCTGTAGTCTGAAAACTGAAGTTTTTGTACTGAATGCAAGGCAAAATCAGCTCTAAGCTACGATGGTGTAAATTCCAAAACACCTCTTGAGGAATGAAACCATGTACTTCTGGTTTATATTAATGCAAATTTGACCCCAGGCAAAATACCAGCTCTTCGATAGTTTTGAAGAACAGTTGTCCATTAAAAAAGTTGCCATTGGAATTCAAAGCAATTTGACAAAATTAGATGCCATTCACTGATCTCTTTATATGATTTAAGGTGAAATTGCACCAGTATAGAAAGTAAGATCTGTTCTTAATGGATGTCAAGAACCGTCCATTGTCTCCCAGCAAGTGGAACAGATGGTTTCTGCTTTAAAATCAGTGTTTCTCTGACAAAGTCAATGGGTAAATCCCTGTTTGTGGCAGCTGAGAGCCTGGATAGATTGCATGTCTATGTCATGCTGGCTCTCTTTGAACACAGATGTACTGGATGCTATTGCTGATCACCTGCATGTGTAGTACCAATTATATTTTATATACGTGTGTGTTCATAGCATTCAAAAAGAGCAGTGAAGTTTTTTTTTTCACATTTGCAAAATAAAGTCACAGACCAAACCTAGTCCCTGTTCCATTTCTTGCCTTAGATCCCTTTCAAGGGCTCTGGGTAAGAGGCAGCCTATAAAGTACTTCTTCTGGAACAAGATTTTTTAGTTTGGATTAATCTGTTAGACTAAATATATATATATATATTAAAAAAAAAATGTCTTTTAGTTTCATCTTATTCTGTGTGGTCATCTCAGCCATGCTGTGTAGAGAGGGCAACCTTTCCACTTTTTCTTGGCTCTTCCACTGTCCAGTGAGCAAATCTGAAAAAGATCCCTTAACTTCCTTGCACTTGGGCTTCTTTTCTCTGGTATTTCTAGAGTAAAGAGGTTCTGAGATGCTTATGATGTTAATCCCTGTTGATGCATCTTTCATTCGGTACCAGATAATGTGACTGTGATTTAAGTTTGGACTTTCAGTGTGACATTCATGGTGAGAGACAGTAGCTCCTTGCCCTCACTATGCAATGAGGGTTGGGAGCTTTGCAGTATGATTCGGGGCAGCTGAATCAGAACCTATATTATAACACTGAATAATTTAGCAGTTTTTACTGACCTTGATCTCTTCACAAGTTCCCCTCTAATGTCCATGACTATGTGTGAGAAAGTAAATGCCTTTTATCCTTTTATTATTATTATTATTATTTTCACTTTAAAAGCTCTCCTGATCCAGTAGACCTCTCAATCAGCTAAAAAGCCTTCATCCTAGTAGTTCATTCTCACTTTTCCTCTCAATTTTGGAAGATTTTTTTTCTATCCTACAAATCTCAGATCTCAGTGCTCATCTGGGATATACTGGATTTTGTATTAATGTTTTAAAAGTACAGCTCTTAGGAGCCAAACATCTTGCTGAGGGAAAAGGAGCAGGGATGATCTTAACTAGACTAGAGGTCCTATCTGTAAGGATTGTCAACTTCACTGTGAGGTGTGTAGAGGGGGAAAAATTCCTTCCCTGCAGGAAATTTATACCTTGTTTTAAGCTCTTTATAAAGTGGTTTTATAGTAGCTTGTAGAACAACAGAGCTGACTTTACTGAGGAAGGACTTGGAAAGCTGAAGGAAGTGAGTATGTCCACTCTATGTGCTGAAGAACTGTCCCATGTCTTCTCTCACTAACTCTACATCTGCAAGCCATGTTGCAGCACTGATATGGCTGAACACAGGAGCCAGCAGGGCTGTTCACTCCCCTCATTTAACAGCGAAACTGCTTCTGGGGTCAGAGGTTCCTCTGAATGACATTCCAGTGCACAATACAACTGCAACAGCTTGTGCAGGTGTGCCATGGGCTTCTCTGACATGGCCCTGCATCACCGTGGACACACAGGTGTCTTCTCTGTGAATACTGAACCTCATCCTGGGGCTAAAACAGTGCAGGCACAACCTACAGGGATGAACAGGAACTCAGTGCCTGCCATCCAGCACAGGTAACAGTTACAGTTTGTAGCTTTCTGCAAAATCTAGCAATACTTGAAATAGTTTCAACTTGTGCTAACACAAACACTGAAATGGAAGGAGGAAGGGCAGAGTGTTTTATGATGAGTTTCAGAACAGGGAATAAATGCAGGACTCTTTCCCCAGGGCTGTAGTACTGTCAACATTCATTTTGTCTTTGGAGACAGTAATAAAGTAGCTCCAGAAGAGATTTTAAACTCTATGGTATCACTGTTGTTCCATGTATTTTGGTTACTGATGCATAAAAAGAGTTCAAAAATTTCAGAATTTTATTTTTCTCCCTGCTACTTAATTCCCAGAAAAGTATGCTTGAAAAGATTCTATCAGAATAGATTCTTTTCCTTTTAGATTACGTATATATATATATATATATGTATATATATACACACACATACGATATATGGCCCCATGTGCGTGTGTATACATATATATATATATATATATATATATATTCCCTGTAGTTATTTGTTAAAGGACTAAAATTCATACTGGATTCTTTGTTTTCTTGTGTGCTTCAATTTGTTATGGTACTGTTATTTATCAGTAATCACAATGGTTTTTTTGATACAAAGATTGAATGAAATGTTTTGCATTCATTTGTATAATAATTACATTTATTCCTTCAAATATGTCAGCAAAAGTAAAACTACTTTTTATTGCGTGTAAATGATAATGTGAGTATCATGGGACTTTAAATGTCTGAAATTAAGTTATAATTCTCGCAGTTGTCACAGTCTTCTGCATTGTTTGGATGAAAAGAAATGGTAAAATCCAGCAATATTAGTTTAATAGAGCAGTGCAAGCCCTGCATGCCCTCTACTGGAAGTGATCCCTTACAGGATAATGTAGATCAGCTTCTGTGGCAGTGCTCAGTGTCTGACCTGCAGACAGACACACTTGCTTTTATATAGTTAGTTACTCATTAAGTTTCTCCATAGCAGAGTTTGTTAGCCTGCTAGCCTTTCCTAGTAGGAAGGAAAACTCCTCCAGTACATTATTTTCTTCACAATTTTCATTACAGTTTGAACTCTTTCAGTTCTCCTTAACATATTTCTTGACTTATTAACCTTGTTGCTCCATTGCAATAAAAAGAAAATGAGTTATATGTTGAGCAAAGTTGTTGAATGATATCTCATTACTGACACAGGTTTTATACATGCAATTTTATTGTGATTTTTAGGAAGTTTACAGGTTCGATACAAGCTGAGTAAAGATGGGCTTCTCATTTTCACCATTGACTCCGGAAATTTTGCCAACCGAGAGCTGCATCATGTGAAGATTAACAGAGAAGGCAGAGAGCTCATCATTCAGGTATGCCACGGCTTATGTTGAGTGTTAAATAATACTTGGTGCCACAAACATGGGAACAGTTTGCCCAGAGAAATTGTGTCATCCCTGAAAATGTTGTTCCATCTCTGAAAGTGTTCGAGGCCAGGTTGGATGGGGCTCTGAGCAACCTGGTCTAGTAGGAGGTGTCCCTGTCCACAGCAAGATGATCTTTAAGGTCCCTTCCAATCCATGCCATTTTATGATTCCGTGAGTCAGACCCACTGATTTCAATGCCTGATCGCCAGCAGGAGGCAAAGGTTTCACATTGATCTGGTGCAACCAAAGCTGATCCAGCAGCAGAGCAGCCCTGTAGCTTATAGCAAAGCTCCATCCAGACCCTTCTTCATAGAATGCCCAACAGTGGTGTTTTCTGTTGAGGAATCCTTCTCTTGTTTCTGACAATTTGTGAATTAGGAAACACATTTGCCCAGAAGTTCATCTAGAGCATTGGGCTGGTTCTGGGGCCTAGTGATGTCTGTGTGATCTGTAGTCTTCAAGGAAAAACACAGTATGGGTCATTAATAAGATGTGAAAGGGAGAAAAACAACTGAGGGATGAGCACCTGGGAATGTAATTACATTTAGGGTATGTGTCCCAAGGGAGAATGTGTCCCCAGCTGCCTCATCCTCTTAAAGAAAAGGAAAAGGTACGTTAATGCAGAGTGAAGTCACCATGTGCATGACAACACCCCATCCTAGAGCTAGAAGAAAGCCATGCTGAATGTGACAATCATAAGAGAGACAAGAACCCTCCTCTGCTTTGTTTCCCTGCATCACCTGTTTTTCCAAGGCAGGGAGAAGAGGATCATCCTACTGCTCTTTCTGCTTTCTTTCTAAGTCTAATTATAACAGTTCATATTGCAAAAAGGCTGGATCTGGGTCGCAGTCATTTAGCAGGGAAGGGTGGCAGAGTCTATAGAGAAGTTGTGTCTTAAGGAATAAAATGAGAAGAAGACGGAAACACACAGTGCCACAATTTTTCTTTCCTCTCCAGTTTCCATGTCTGGGTGGTAAAATGATCACACAAGTCTCAACTATGGGCTGTGGGTAGGCCTGATTATCTAAGAAGAAAGGTTATGTTAAAAGCCAGGGTTTTCCTCAAGTTCCAGTCTTCTATTGTGTGCTGCTCTGTGGTTTTCTTTTGTGCAGAGTTAATTCTTCACAATACATTTCTAGAAAGGGTCTCCTTTAAGTGTATTCAGAAGTGACTGGTGACTAGACATGGATTTTGGGAAGAAGGGGGGTTTCAGTGTCAAATATTTTAAGCTTTTCAGCAGGGGAAGTTTCTTCAAAGCCCTTTATATGACTATTCTGGTGTACCTTTCAGCTTCTCATGCTAAAATCAAAGCACATTCACTTTACTATCTCTAGAAAGTGAATCACACCTGGGGGCAGAATTAACTGATTTGCTGCTGAGAGTGTTCCCAGAAGTTTGCAGTGCAGTGCGATCTAGGAGTGTCTACATGGTGTTGTAATGAAGTAATTTTATTGACCTCTTCCAGGTTGATCAAGTTCTCAAACTCAAACACAACTTTTCTGAGATTGATTTTAAGGCCATTAAATCACTCACCTTGGGCAAGGTCACAGGTAGGTCCTACCAAAAATATTCCTGATTCATCAGTTGTTATAGTGCTGCATGTTGGGATTTTGATAGGATTGGAGTTTTGTTTGGATGGTTTTGCTGTAAGAGTTGGCCTGAACACTCCAGTACTCCTATTTATATATCTCATCAATGCAAAAATTTGGCAGCTTTACCTGTTTGCACTGATAGCAATATTAACTTCTCCCATTGCTCCCTTCAGTAAAGTAATTCATAGTGCCTGTGTGGCTGCATAGGGTGGCATCTTAACCTAATGATATCATTTTGCTGACTGCAGCTTGCTCTTCTTCAGCTATTTCTGTTTCCTGATGATAAGAACAGCACAGTGAGCCTTCATCCTCTCTACCCTTTTTTCACTCCCATTTGAATTCTGCAAGGAATATTACTTATAGCACTGAAGCCACAGCTCTACATGTTCTGTGCATGGAGTTACTTGATCTTTATTCCTCCACATTACAAAGTCATTACAAGACCAGGAAAATTCTGCCTAAAATTTGGAAAACAGAACTCTTTAGTTTTGTTGTCAAGTATGTCATTATTTTGTGTGAGTCTTATTCTTTTCCAGTGAGATTCTAAATTCTTCCTTGGTTATGTCTATACATTTCAGTCCTGTGTTCAAGTTGGACCTCCATATCAAGCCTGACATCTATCTCACTATTGCAATTTTATATGTTCCATTATTAGCATGCAAATCCCGTGGGACTGGCAGCCACATAGAAACTACAGACGTCCTCTAGTGTCTAGTTGTACAGTACAATTTTATGTAATGACAATAGTGTATTCTGCATCATGTTTTATAAAGTAGATTAAGAACTTGAACTGATTTTCCCCTTACTTATATTTAATGTTTGTTCAGAATGCAGTCATCTTCCAAGCCTTTGTGGACAGGTTTGGGGACCTGACACTTTTCAGCCCAAGTCAGAGACAAGCTAAAATTCCCATTTTGTCAACGGTCAGCTATAGTGCTGAAAATCTGCAAGAATATTGCTCATTGCAACCTCTACCTAGAGCTTCGGCTATAGACACCAAATCTATAAACCAAGGCTTTTCTAACCAGCAAGACAGAATGTAGCACAAAGACCTTCAGAAATGTAACCAGTAAGCTGGCATGGTGCAGCTCAGCATTATGGAGAGAAACTAGATTTAGTCACAAAAACATGATTAACTTCACAAGTACAAGTTGTTGTAAAGCCAAAAAGCCCAGATGTATCTCAGAGCTCTGGCATTCAGTTTTACTGAACACCACAAACTTCTTTGATTTCTCTCTTGCCCTAAAGTTTATTGGGATTTTATTTTAGTAATAGCAATAGTTCATATTCTGTAATGACACTAAAGCTACGAACTTGGCAATCCAGATGGTGCCAGGTCTTATTGCTGTACTGGGAGTCACACAGTGCATCCCAAATCACTTTAATTCCGGCCTAATCCTAATTCTGATTTCTTCTTCATATGTTAAGTGAATTTCCACATATTTTTCTTCTATATTAGGATTTAATTTTTCAGGTTTTATCCAAAAAAACCCTAAACCAAGCCAGAAATTCCTACTACTATAGTGTCAAGTGTTTTGCCTTGTTGTATCAAGAGAAGAGGTGAACATTGTCATTTTGACAATGTAGAACTTACATAAATATGTTAAATCATCATTTACACTATTATGTGGGTAAAATATCAATTATAACTTCTTTTATGATGGTTCATCAGGTGAATACTAGTGACTTAAACCAATGTCTTTCAAGTTCTTCCTTGAAAGGAAGAACATTATTCATGTCCTCAGCAAAGCATAAACTTCCAGAGGCATGTGATGCTTTGACGTAGACACAGACTTCCCTGTAGTGTTTATTTTGGATACCACTGAGATTATGCACCTAAAGGCATTCATAGGGAACATTTGAGTGTTCACTGAAATAGAACCATATAAAGAAACCTCTGTTCTGTGTGTCCTACATATCCATGCTATAATCTTCTGAAAATTTTTCTCTCTTCTTTCCTGTCATACCACTCCTCATTTGTCTGCTCTAACAGCCTGATCCCGGCTGCTTAACCAGATGATTATATCACCTTCTTTCTTGACTCCACCATTTATTTCCCACTGACTGAGAAATCTCAAAGAGGTCTTCCAGCAGGACATCATAAAAGCTTGAAACTTCTTCCTCATCATATTTTCTCATGATAACCATTTTAGCACAGCTGGAACCTTTGAAAAGTGCACTTTTATACAATGACCAGGTTTTTTTAAATAATGGTGTGTCTCCTGCTTCTAGTCCCCCCACCCCAGCCCTATTAAACTTTCTTTAGTAAAAAGGTATTTGCAGTCTAATAATTTTTTCTTCTTTTCAAACCTTCTGTATTTTTTTGCAATGGTTGCCCTACATCTAGTTCTGAATTCTGGGCAAAAAACCTCTGCTTAAGGTAGAAGGGTCTCACCTGAAATTCAAAACATAGGGACACTCACTCTACCACAGACTACTTGACTGACCTTGGGCAAGCCATTTATGTGCAGATATAAAGGTAAGCAGGCATTTTATTCCCACTGGAACCAGTCTGAGCTTTACTATCTCCCTTCTCCATCAGTAAAGCATAGATAATAGAACATCTCTGCATCAGAGGGGTGCTGGGAGGATAAAAGCATTAAAGGCTGTGAGCTCTTCAGATCCACAGTAATGGGACCATATAGCTGCCTTAGAAAGATCAATCTAAATATAAATGTGGCTTTGAAGACAAGGGAGTAAAAAGAAGCATCATTCAAGTAGCTAACAGATGTTTGTTGAATTCATCCTCACAGTATCCAACAGCAATAGAAAAGTATTATTATTCTGTAGTTTGTTGTCATTTTTACTCCACAAATACAGAGGCAGAGTACAAAAGGACCTATCCAGAGCTCATCAGTATCAATGGGAGATTTTCCGTGGGCTTTAGTAAGTACTGGATTCAACCCCAAGAGGGTCATAGAGTTTATGACAAAGCCTCAGTGAAATCTTAACCAGAGTCCCAGTTCATTTAATTTAAGTACTCCTTGCAGAGATCATACTGCTGTATTTAACCACATGAACAATCTGACCTAACTGTGACGCTGGCTCTGCTTTGAGCAAGGGATTGAGCTGCATGACCTTCAGAGGTGTCTTTGAACTTAGTATTCTGTAATTCTCTGATCTCAGAGACACATTTGCATATTTTTAGGTTTTCTATACAAAAAGCTGATATCGCAGTGGAAAATATAATTGATTTGTTTGGGGGTTTACCTTAGTGAATCCGTGAAAACTTTGTACTGTGCCCCAACATGTCTAGATTTTTCACTAATATAGTGAAATGGTAAAAAATAATCCCTGATGCAGAGAAGTGAATCTCATTGCGTATTTACTTCTGAGCAATTTAATATTGTAGCTGTGTAGGGATACCAGAGTAAAAGGGATTCTGAAGAAAAAGATTGCAAGTATTTCTTTAGCACCTTTTAATGTTGACCTAACTTATGTCTGCCTTCAAAGTGATCAATTAGCATTAAAGATTGTGTATTTTAGCACAGGAACATGATGTCTTTTATCTCTAAAAGCCTGAGCTTACAACTAAAGTTGTAAGATTCTTTCCACTGAGTCTTTCAGCTATGATATAAAGTATATGTAGAAGAAAGTTTATCTGGAAAGTAATTTTATTAAAATCATTATGTAGGTGCAGTACAATTCTTATGATTTCTACAATAGCTTTTCTTATTAAAAGTTCACAAGAAGAAAATGGAATCTATACACTGAAGAGATCACAGAACAATTCACCCAAGAATGATATTATAGGGGGGAGATGATAATGGGATCATTAAATCACAAGGGGTAAGTTGTCATTAACTCTGAAATACAAAAGCTGTCTTAAAGTACCTCCTTTTAGAGAGTTTCTATGAAAAATGTTGAAGTCCATTTTTCTGATGGAAAGACATTCCCTTTTTTAAGCTTACAAAATCATAATTTACTTGATAATTTTAAAGTCACAGTCTCTGAATATTGTGCTGTAGCAGTTTAAACAATACAGCAATGTCTGCAAGAGATACTGGCTGGACTCCTATGATCACTGCAAGACTCATTTCTTTAATTCAGAGTCTTCTTGCCCTAAATACCTATTTCTTAGACAGACCATATTGTGCAAAAAGGTCTCTTGGGTGCAGTTTAGGGTACCTTTAAAAGTTATTGGTTTTTCTCCTAGTAGCTTAGTAAAGCTTTAAGGAAAATGGAAATTACTACATAGAATAAAAGAGGAGACGCATTTGTTACCAAGATGGCAACAGTTAAAATAAACAAAGTTTAGCTATCCCAGGCACTTCAAGCAATCCCAGGTCTAAGCCAATATGCCATCATGTCTTTATCAAAAAGAGACCAAATCTATTCCAATAGATATATATAGAGAGATATATAATTTACCATATGGTCACACCATGCTTAAACACCTCTTTTCTTGATGATAATACCATCTAAATAAGTGTCCAAGGCCATCTACTCCTATCCAGAAGTTTTATTTTTAGTCTGAATTCTTGCTACTTTAGTTGATTTTAGCTGTCTGATCCTGGGAAAAGCACATCCTCTCTCCATCTTCTTGCATATTTTCTTCTTTTGATAAATTATATTTTCAGGCCATGCAGAATCACACAGGACTGGTTGTGTTGCAACAGATTAGGATTCAAACATCAAAAACTGTGACATGTAACAAATTTCACATTACAGATTATGTGATGTAACTACAAAGTACCTGCTAGAACTCTTCTGAGACAGGTGCAGTGTGTGGAGACTACAAGGGTCTTTTACTTCAAGGTCATGAGTTCAAATCTGGTACTAATGTCCAAAAAGTAATCTTGCCAGTGCTGTTCGGCACCTTGGCAAAATGAGGTGATGGATACATTTCAACTCCCCTAAAAATCATATTTCTATTTCTCAGCCTCAAAATAAAGGACAACCAGAGCTTCAGCATACAGAGTAAATTCCCCTTTGTGCTTCTACCTGCAGTCTACATAGATTAATTAATTAATTAGGGCATAGACATTTAAAACAGGCTATGTCTGCTTTCACTGATGTTAAAAATAAATTTCAATTAAGAAAATCCATTATGGTCCTTCCTGCCAGTAAGTGAGCACACATGTAAACTCTGGGCTCAGATTTAAGTTTCTGAGTGACATGAAATAATTTTTATAAAAAGAGAACTAAAATATATTTAATAATGTTTATGGTCCTCTTTTACACAATGATTCCTTTAGAAAGAAGGTCTTCTAGACACTGTCCTTGCATACAAATAGTACTTCTCTTTGATTCCAGTTACCTGTCATACTGGCTATCATTTACTGTGTCAATTTGTTGATATATTGCTGAGTAGATTAATGCTTGCTCCTAGAGAAATCTGGTGGAATTCTATTCATGATGAAAATTAATTCCCCATTACCGAGATATGAAGACTTAAGATTGTTTTATTAAAGATCACAAATGTGAGGTATATGGCAGAGGTGCACAATGAAGCAGCAGTGGAACAGGATATCTGTTTTTGTAAATAGGAATAAATCAGCACATAAATTACATTGATACAATTAATAAAGTTTAAAAAATACAACTACATGTTAGAATTAGTCCTCATTATCATGGAAAGCCATTGCAAAAACATGGAAAACCAACACAAAGCTTGCTGAGCTGTGACATTGCAGATAGCTTCCAGGGATCAGCTAGAGGACCCAACAAGAAGCCAGGACAACTCAGCACACAAAGCTAAAAAATTACTTCCTAAAAATATGAGTAAGCTTAATTTGTGGAGAATGAAAAGTTAAATTACTAGAAGCTAAAAAAGATTACCTTCTTACTCTTCATGGAGAAATTAGCTAAAGTAACTCATTCACCAATACCGAGAAGAGCAATACAATGCTAAAATGTCAGAAGATCAAACCAAGCCATCAGCAGCAATTCAGTGTGATTTTCCAAGCCAGTGAAATGCATAGAAAGATTCACAGCATTACCAGGTCAGAGGAAGGCCACAGAAGTTTGATATGACCTTGCCGCAACACAGACCTTGGAACTTTACTTAGTTGCTTCTCTTACGGAGTACTGTGTCATGTACTGAAAATACCTCTTGGAAAAACATTTTATTGTGATGTAAAGACTCCAAGGGACAGAGTGGCCTTTAATAAACCTTTCATAGAGGGAATCATGTCACAATCACAGATTTACATTATCCTCTCAAGAATTCAGAGGGCAGCACAAGTCGTTCACATCCAAGTTGTGCAGCCTTTCTTGTTGAGAACAGTGAAAGCCTCCCTTTCCGACAGATATTACACACACACCTAAAGCTGTATAATAAAGCAAACCGATTCTGTGCATGTGGGATTTTTACCAGAGGACTCTGGGGTTGTTTTTGGTTTGCTCTTTGATTTTTTTTTTTTTTTCAAATTTCAAAGTCTTTCAACAACAAACTCCTAGTTCTCATTCATGTAAAGCTTACTTTAACAAAAGACTTCTGGAGTTGGTTCTTAAAGTAACTTTTAAAAATACCGTCAAAAGTGTTGAATCTTAGACTTTTCAAACTACTGTGGCACGAAAAAAGAAATCATTATTTCTTAGGCTTTACCTTTTGCACATTGGGGCAGAACAGAGCAACTAAGATTGCCTGGTGTAAAAAAGATACCAACAAATTCACCTTTTGTGTCAGAGCTAAGAAAACAATAAAGGCTGAGAGTAGGAATGCTTACAAAAGGTTTTATAAATTCAACAAAGACAGCAGATACTGTAAATCGGTCTTTTAGTATATATAAACATTGTTACAGGGACTTGGAAAAAATTCTTTGTCTGTTTTATAACATCTCAGCCAAAATCTCATTAAAAACCTGAATGCAGTCAATTCATACACACTTTTAAGTAGAGCAAATGTGAACCTCTGTAAGACTGCAGTTTTTCCAGTGGCAAAGCCTCACTGTTTGCCTTCCCATTTCTCTCAGAGCCCAGAGGCTGTCTCCGTGACAGGTCTGCAGACTGAGAATCTCTCCTGTAAGACTCCTGGGAGAGCAAACTCATACTGTACCTTACTTTGCTGACAAACAGCCAGACTCTTCCATGTTATACTCCCATGAAGACATTAAAACATAATTATAAAACTTTCTTGGATAATTGCCTCTAACTGTTTGGCATAACAGTCACAGATCTTGAGCACAAAAATAATGTGTGATTTCAGCTAGTTTTGAGATTTCTCTGTATTTTCTCATATAGAAAAGAAATTCATGTAATTAAGGTAGGAGTGTCAGCTTTAAGAGAAGGTCTACTTTTTTTACCTAAATCCCGAGAGCTTGTAAAATCATTGTATTGGAATGATAATGGAAAAATTGTACCTTATTTTAAAATTTAGCATCTTGTTCTTTCAAAATTTAAAAACAAAATTGAAAAGCTAGGAATCCTTATTTTCCAATGTCCTTGGAAGTATTTCCAAAGTATTCAATGCTAGAAGTTGTTTTAGTTTGGTTTTTTTTAGCAGGTATTTTTAAGACAGAATAAATTTCGATTCTGTGTATTTGTGCGTTTTAGGTTTTTCTCTTGTTTGATTGACTTAGATATAAAGCACATCATGTTTGAGACCTCTGAGCAGTTTGAATTTTGATTGCTGGAAAGTAAATAAATGAGAGTTTGGAGAAAATAGAAGATGGCTTCACTGTCCTTACCTGACTTTCCCAAACAATCTTTGATATTAAAACTAAATTCTTGGCTGTGAAAGTGGTGAGTCACTGGAACAGATTGCCCAGAAAAGTTGTGGATTCCCCATCCATGGAAGTGTTCAAGTTTAGGTTGCATGGGGCTCTGAGCAACCAGGTCAAGTGAGAGGTGTCCCTGTCCATGGCAGGGGGGTTGGAATCAGATGATCTTTAAGGTTCCTTCTGACTCAAACCATTCTATGATTCTAGAATTAAATAAAAACTTCTGGCCTTTGATTGGCTTTCTTTTTGTGAAATTTAAATGGACATATACCAACAGAGAAGGTAATTGTGCTATCTCATCTTCAGGCTGGAAAATAACACAGAGACATTTGTTTTGGTTTTGACTTAGATAAGAAGAGGTATAGTTTTGCTCTTTATTTTATTAGTGAAATGGGGCTGGCAGAGTGAGAACCTGACTCATAGCTAGGAGTATTCCTGGGAATTCTGATTGTAAAACAGTAGTAACATGATAGGGGCACCAGAAAATTTCAATAATAAACTCTTGGAAAAGGATGGGAACCTGTTTTAGGAAGCCTTTCAGTATTAGGTCACATGAAGCATTGTATGACAGACAACAGAGAGCAGAGTCCTTCATTTGAAGAGTGGAAGAGGCAGAATACCTTGAAGATACAGTCAATAGCTGTGAAACTGATGTTGTTAACAGATGTAAAAAAAGTTAAAGAGCATCATCCCCCTAATCCTGTGGTATTTGGTGTTGCTCTTTTATTGTTTATTATTACAGTTATTGTCATGGTTAGAAGCTATGGTGGTAGATATTGTCCAGACAGTAGAGAAAATGGATGAGGAAAGAAGTGTAATGCAGGCTTTTATGTCCAAGCCAACTTAATTCAATGTAAGTAGCATTGTAGAGGAAGGACTGGGGTTGGGAACCTCATGGTTTAGGACAGAGAGAACTTATAGGCTGCTGAAGGAGAAACTGAACAGTTAATACTGGGTAACAGAAGTAAAATTGGTGATAAGGCAAAAAAGGATTCATTTTCTTAATGTCTTCCTAAAACAATTCCCAGTGTGTTTTTCTGTTGTACTGCAGATAGTTTGTCACTGGACCCTGAAGTCTCAAAGGCAAATGCCTATGGTTTCACTGGCTGCTTGTCCTCTGTTCAGTACAACCACATTGCTCCCCTGAAAGCTGCCTTACGCCATCCCAGCGTTGCTCCTGTGACTGTCAAAGGTTCCTTGACTGAATCCAGCTGTGCATCCATAATGGATGCTGATGTGAACACAGCAACAACAATATATTCTTCATCAGGTATGTCCTGCTGAGAGGGGAATGAGGAGTTTAAATGATGCAGTAGAGTCGGGTTTCCTTCCTTTTTGCTGTAATGCAATTGTGACTATAAATATTGGAACTGGAAAGTTGCCTTTTCTCTCAGAATTAGGGGTGTTGAGAATGGGCACCAGGACAAGTCAAGGCTCCTTTAAAAGTCATTGTTCTCGGTCTAAGTTCCTGGATTGCCTAAAACATGCCTAGAACAAACAAAAAATTCCCAAAGCCCTAGTGAAAACAGCACTGGAATATCCTTATCACCTGATTTGCCATTCCTGTCCACTCCAGATAACTCCAGTGCTGCAGATCTCAAAGGAGAACATAAGTGTTACACACATTCCATATCCTAGTGGTGATGAAGCAATAGAAGTCATAGAACAAACAAGGCAAATTTGTTCCCACCCTGTCAGAAATGAACAAAAACTCTTGTAAAAATCCCTTGACACATGTGTGTGACTTCCATTGAATGCTTGTACTTCATTCTCTCAGGCTAAAGAGAAAGAGCACTACTTGAGCAGTACCAGTAAAATAATCCCAATAGTTTGTATATCTTTTGCAATCTTGAAACTGTCCTCTGGGAATCTTAAGTATTTTGCATATGCAAATTTGTATGCAGAGAAGGAAATGGAGAGCAGCTGGAAGTGTTGTCACCATGAACAGGAACAATCAAGTTACTGCTTTATTCACGAGTGGATGTGGCAGAATTCTTAATGACCAGAAAGGGGTACAAATTAAGGGCAGCTTTTTACACCTTGACCTCTAAAGCCACTTCCTCTTTTTTGATAACTAATAAAACTCTGGTTTAGATCATAATACAATTCCTTTGACATTTGTACTTGCATCAAATCCCCATTTCCTGCAGCTTCTGCCTAAGATATATTCAGCAGAAAACAAATGATGCTATTAGCATTCTGCATAGGGAAAAAGGCTGCTGATTACTCTTGAGAGCGGCTGGCAGGCTGGCAGTGTGCATGTGCTTCTCCCCAGCCCCCCACTTTCCTCTCGCTGCCTGGAGTTGTCTAAGGTATCTAATCTGATGCACGGAAGGAATGTGTCTTGTGAGTACTGAATGGGCAATGATACTGAAAATATGAACTCCTTGCCCTGTGGTCTGTCACCTCGATGATCTCATTTTTCTAAGGAGTTTAGAAAGCAGTAGGACCTGAGGCTCAGAACTGCAGGACAGAACGCAGAGCAGAGTGTAGCATTCAGACTTAAATATTTAAAGCACACAATCAGTTGCACACTATTGTCAAAGTTAAGCAGTGTTACATCAGAAATGCAGAATTATTATAAAATCTCATCCCTGTCTTTGTCACTCTGTACTCTAAAATATGATTTCCTCTCAATTTGATGAATTAATTGACATTACTGTCTCACTATTCACACTGGATTTGATTAAAGCCTGAATAAGATCTTTAGAACGACTGAGTTCTGAAGACTTCATGTATTTAAATGCTACAGTAAGAGCACTGGGTGGTAGAGTCTTATTAAAAAAAATTCCAATTTGTAGCAAATTATTCTTTGTATAGATGTACTTGAGAATTACATTTATACATGGAAAGGACACATTTTAAGAAATAAAAAGAAAACAGAGTTAAGGATTAACTTTCAAATTTACTGCTCATATCTCAATTCATCACTTCCCAATTTCTCATTACTGAGTGTCTGAGAAGAAAAACAGAACTTCAAAGGAGACTGTACATGTCTCTGTCTATTTTCTAATGTACAGATACAACAAAAAAACCCTCTAGGAAAACTCTTTAAATGTGTGAAAAAAGCTTTCTATATTTAAAACTTGAAAACAATTGAAGCTATTTCTTTTAGAAAGGAATACTCATGTTCAAGAAAGTTTCCTCTCAGACAGATATGGAATAAAATCCATTCACTCATGGCTCAGTTATCCAAATACACTCTTTCTGATTAGGAAACACAGAATGAAAGGTGACTTACTGTGGTTTTTATTTAGCAAAGATCTACAGATCACCTTCTTCCTTGCTGAGGCACGTGTAGAGGTTTTGGTATTCTAAACTACACTGATGGCAGCAAGATAATGGAGTTTTACTATGGTATTTTTTCTTAATACTAAAATACTTTTAAAATGACAGAGCAGATTCAACTCTGTGAATGGTGTAGTCTTGAACTGTCTGTCTACTTCAGCTGAAGAGCGGGTCTTCATGCATTTAAAGTAAAAAATGTCAAACACTTTTGTAAGTCAGAAACTACATAGAAAGATTTTGCTTCAGAAAGGCATCTTAAACGATGAAGTCCCTTTCTCACTGTGCTAGTTTTGCTGGACCTGATATTTCCAAACAAGTTGTAACTGGCTAGGGATGTACCAGGAGAGCCTTGACTGTAGCAATTATGAGATGGTGAAGTTCAGGACCCTCAGCAGAAGGAAAAAAAGCAGAAAGCATGACTGCAACACCAGACTTCAGCAGAAGAACCTTTGACCTGCTCATGGACCTACTTGGAAGAATTCGGTAGGATACTGCCCTGGTGAGAAGATGGGTCCAGGAGATTTGTTTTAAGGATCATCTCCTCCAGGATCAAGAATGGTCCATCCCAATAAGCAGGATATCTACCAAAGGTGGCATGAGGCCCAGAGAGGTTGTGAAGTCTTCATCCTTAGATATATTCAAAACCCAAATGGATACAGCCCTGAAAAACTTGCTGTAGTAGGCTCTGGTTTGAGTAGGGGTTTGGATTAGAGGATTTCTAAGGGGCCTTCTGACCTCAGGAGTGCTTCCACCCTCAGTTTTATCTAAAATGAGAAGGATGTCCTGTTCAGGTCTCAAATGAGACCGAGTATTGCTTTCCCTTGGCTTCAGAGTTTATTGTATTCCCACTGGAAATGGTTCTGCTGTTGCATGCCACCTGCTGCACCATAACAAACCCTCCTCTACTTGTATATTGATTTTATTTCTCAGGCAAATGTAATTCTTAAGGCCTGTATCTGTTGGCCTTCATTCTGAAACTGATCTTCAACATTTGTTCTGGTTTCCTCTCAGTGCTTAAATTCTGGTAACAGTAGCCAAAAGATAGTGGAGTGCTAGTCACATTTAGTGTCAAATCTTACATAAATTTTTAGGCATGAATAATTTCTTACATAATTTTTAAGGTAGAAATTTATTTCATGCTTTTTCATACATACTTAATAGTTTTTCTTTACTCTTTTCAACTACTACCATGCACTGGATACCAGCTGGAGATTTTTCTCTAGTACAGGAGGACTGTTGTAGAACAGATGTGAATTTTTAATTGTAACCGATTTCACTGGTGTCAGCTGAGGGCAGGGGTAAAAAATACCTCACCAAACTTCCAGCCTCTGAAAGGTAAATCATCTTGAGTCTGAAATAAAGATTGTTCTCCCCTCCTAGTCTGTGGAAAGAAATAGCTGAGTCACACCGTCAATCTTTGACAGCCATCTTAGGGTATAAAGTATTCTTAGATTCTTTTCCTCTTTTACTAAATAAAAGGTGCCTAAATTGCTAATTTTGATTTATATAACTAATTCTGAGATACTGAAAAATAAAGCAATATGAATCTACTCATCATGTACAAAATTATTACCAACCCTGATCTAATTTTGAATTTGACTGTTTTGACCTTGGGCTCAAAGGCCTGAGATTAGGCTAAATAACCTTCAGATTTGCTTTCCAACGTAACCTTTTCTATGATGCTATCTATATAGATATGTGTGTAAAAATACATTTTTATTCCCATTCCACTCCCACAAATGTAGTAGATGAGATGAAGCATTGCCGTGACTGTTTCTTGGGAATGGCACTCTAGGCACACAGTTTCCAAGCAAGGAGGGTCTTGTAAATAGGCCTCAATCTGAGTGTTCAAATCTGTCATTGGCATTTAACATTCGGTGTTGACAATGGGTGTATTGGAGGTATTCAGTTAGCCCCAGAACTCCCTTTTGTGTCTGTAGCTCAGTCATGAGTCATGCACTGCCTGTGTGGGGAACCCTGACTTTCAGTATGTTCCACCCCTAAAACTAGCAAGTAGACTTGCATCTTTTAGAACATCAAAGCCTCTTGGAGGCTCATGCCTTCTGCATCTTCTTAGGGCTGGTATCATTGATGTAGAGACTAAGGAAAAAGTGTACCCTTTAAGAACCTAAATAGCCTAAAACCACCATCATCACAAATTCAGGACCACCTGATGCACAAATATTACATTGTTGCTTGTTTAAATAAAACTCATCTTCTTCAACAATGGCATACCAAAATGAGGCTGAATCAATCACTAAGGCAAGGATGTTCAATTACAATAAACATTGCAACACCAAATTTCTCAATTGGGCTTTCATCTCTTGCATACATTCTCTGGAGGCTTGTAAAGGAGCGAAACACAAATATGAATCCTGTCAGAGGAGAGAGTAAGCTGAAGACAACAGAAAATTGTGAAGGTGCAGAAAAGCTAGATTCAGTTAGCAGTAAAAAACCGTGGCATTTCCTGAAACATGCAGTACTAAAAAGAAAGTACACTACTCTAACTCCACTGACTTCAAGGAGGGCTTGACCTCGTGGATTTGGAGCTGAATTTGAAACAGGTCGTGGGCTATTTGGCTCAGTGTTTCAATGATAGTCATTTACAGACAGAGTACAAGAGAGCTCGATCATTGAGGAGCCTTTAATATAGGAATTTATTACTGATCCCCTTCTGTTTTGGATCCAACTTGACCACTGCATTTCTGCAACAGAGATAAAAACAGCCCTTCCAAGAAGCTGTCCTAAACAGAGACTGTTTCTCTTCGTGGGATTGAATTCAACTTTAATATCTGTATCTACAAATGTAGGTCATGTCTAAATCTGTGTAGTGTCCCTTTCCTTTGGTTTCTTTCTAATATTGTTTCTTGGGTAACAACAACAAAAAATAATACAGCTCTGACTGAGAAAAGCTCCTAATGGGCTATTTAATTCAAATGTCTCTCTGACTCTTCTGATGAACTGAAACATCACTTTCAGATGTTAGTGTGTCTTTCTGTTTCCTTCTAAATATACCCTTAACAGACTTTTTTCCTGAAGATGTAGAATAAAATTGTTCTGCAAACTCACTTTATTTTTAAGAGCTTTCTGGTTCAGTTCTCCAATCCCCCAAATCCCATCTATTGAAAACAAATTAAAATTCATGAGAGTAAGAGGACATTTCTGTCTGTACCACAGAGAAAATGAACACAGGTGATACAGAAAATAAGTTCTGTTTTGTTTAACCAACTGCAGATCCTTTCGGGAAGACAGATGAAAGAGAACCTCTCACCAATGCAGTCAGAAGTGATTCAGCTGTGATTGGAGGTAACTTTGTTTTTAAAGAGTACAGTAGAAAAATAGTTCAAAGCAAACATCTAGGAGACTTTAAATCTGGGCTCCATGAAACCTAGCTGAATTTTTTTGTAATATGATGCAGGTCTAGTATTTGCTCTATTTATTAGCGTGTACCTGTATCAAGCTCCCTAGGTAGGCAACTGCATTATGGATTACTGTGGCCATACATGGATCATCAAGAACCTGAGTCTTCTAAAATATAAACAAACTCTGTCTGTCTGCCTGCTTAAGCAGGGGATTTGGACAAGATGACCTCCAGAGGCCCCAACCATTCTCTGATTCCATGTGATTCTCTGTTGTAAGACCCAGCTAACTAGTAACTGTTTTAGACACAGCCCTGCTGAGACCCTCTACACAGTATTCATATATCCCATACTTCTTGAGCTCTCTCTTTGCAATCTGGTGGTGTAGGGGAACTCACCAGGTCATATGGAAGTATACATATACTAAATCATATGAAAGTATGTATATACTAGGGAAAATTGTCCTCCTAATTTCGTGTATGGCTTGCATTTTCCTTTAACAGCCTAGAAGACAATTTATCTCTGTTTATTTTATAGGGTGCCCTGTAACAAGCTGCCTTTGATAATATCTAAAAGCTATAAACCAAAGTGTACGAGGTTCATGCAAGGTTTCCAGAGATAACACAGAAGAAAATATGACAGAGCAAGAATTTGTATGAACATACAGATCTAGCTTTTCAAAAGCAAACAGGGTGAACCAACCTTACTCCCAGTGAAAGCAAAATTTGATGGAAATTAGGTCAATTACATCAATACTTGCAGCTTTAAGTGTTCTTAAGATGAAAAAATAGAAATAAAAACTGCCATGGAGGGTGTGATAGAGGCATATGGTTGTGTACAGACTGAGGTGAACTGATCTATCATATCTACTAGCTGCTAGTAGATATGCATTGGTAATGCATTTTTGAAGTAATTGGACTTTCTATTTTGGTTTTTACTCTTTCTATCCTTTCTTTTTTACCTCTTTACAGGTGTAATAGCAGTTGTGATATTCATCATCTTTTGCATCATTGCCGTCATGAGCAGATTCCTCTATCAGCACAAACAAGCACATCGAAGTAGCCAGAAAAAGGAGAAGGAATACCCAGAAAACCTCGAGAGCAACTTTAAAGCTGACATTGACTTGCAGAACACAGTGAGCGAGTGCAAACGGGAATATTTTATCTGATGGACAATGCAATTTATTCTTGCTCTTACTTCCCTAACCTTCCTTTCTTTATTCCTTTATTCCTTTCTCCCTTCCTTATTTTCTTTTTAGAAATTTTTTTTTAAACGTTCGTTTTTTGCTATTCCATTTGGAAAAGACCGCCCTGCACAGGAAACACTGAGAACAATCACAGTGCCTCATTCTCTGCACAAGAACCTGGCAATTACAGTTTACTTCTTCAGCTCAAGAGACCTGTTATCCCACCCTACACAAAATAAGATCCACATGCACACCTTGTGTCTGCTGTCAGTTCTTGGATGTTTCGAAGTCCCTACATTTATTTGTGTTTTTTTCTCTGGAGCTATTTAAGTTATCACTTTTACAGTAGAGCTGGACTATGTAAAGTACAGGTAAAGTAGTTGAACACATAGCTCTAGAGGTACTGGGACAGGATAGAGGGAAAGAATGAAACCAAAACACTTGATTTATTTCATGGGCTTATTTACAGCAATCATAAAAAACTGGCCAAATTCTCAAATGTTATTAATTGTTATATTGTCTATTGATTTAAATGGTGTTACATTAATTTATACTAGCTGAGAAGCTGGTATGACGTAAAGGAGAATAAAACTGTCCTCATTAAGCTCCTTCCCCCAACCTCCTGTCCTTTTACTGTAACTTTTAGGCTTATCAGCACTTTTCCAACAATATATGTATCAATAATAAATGTCATTCCCATTCACCTCTTCCACCTCCATCTTGTAAGGCTGGCTATGTAGACCCAACATACTCTAGCATAACTAGCTGAAGCATGGAAAATAGTAGCTTGAATCTCCAAGGGTTTTAGGAAGCTGCTAGGACTTAGGTGCTCTATATTTGTCTGAAATTTTAGAAATGCAGCATATGCCTGTTCATGCTATATGGAGGATTATCATGCACTTAAGTTAAACACTGTTGCTGCTGTGGAAAAAAAGAAATATATAGATGAGAAAAACAAAAATAGTTTACTCTTAAACATGATACACACCTTCTGCAAGTTCTTTTAAAAAAAGAAAAAATAAATCCAAATACTCAAAAAAACCCTCCGAAAACTGCATGTAACATTGATTGGTATATCTTGTTTGTAGAAGCTGGAATACCTTCTCCAAAGATAAATAGATCCGATATTGAACAACCGTGTTTACAAGTAACATTAGGGAAACAAAAAAGATCCCAAATACTCGTACTTCAAATTAATCTTCTCTTCTTTTTTCCAAAGTCTTCTGTCCTTTCCTGATTGGGAACAATACTGAAGACTTGAATTCCACCCATATTACTTGTGCTGCATAGTTACAATGTGAGGCTTAAAAACCATTTTTTCAGCCACAGACATCCTAAGGGTCAGAAAATGGAAGAGTCCCAACAAGGCAGGTTTGCACACTGTATTGTTTCCATGTGACATCTGTCTTCTCAGGGCTTCTAAAGAGCATGTAGAATTTGCATTAGGACTTGAAGGTTTCTGACAGTAGTTGAATGGAGCCTACAGTTAAGGGAAAAAAAAAACCTTATTCATTGCAGTACTCTTAATAAGAATTAATTCAAGACAATTAATTGTACAGCTGAATCTCTTTCTTTGCCCTACACCCTTGTGCAATCATCCTGGGGTTTCCACATGAGGGTCCTTTTTACATAAAATGAAAGAATCACAGTATGAGGTAATAAGCCACAGCAAGCTAGAGATGAGTTTACCCATGCAACAGATAGTATTTTTCTAGGCAGTGAATTTCAAAGGTAAGTAGCTGTTTATTTGGGGGATTTTTATGAGGAGAGAGAGCAGGCAAGGAAGAATAAATAAGTGACAGTTTGGATATGGTGGTTCTTCATCACTTCTTTGGAACATCCAGTGAAGAGAAAGCAATCTTAGAATTATATCATTCTCATGCGAAGAGGAATATGTGAAACCACCTCTTAACTGAGCAATTTCATGAAGCCATTTATATTGAAATTACTATTAGTGCTGTTCTTCCTCAGTCATAGTCAACAATAGCCCTTTTGCCACATGCTGGCTGATTCATGTGATTACTGAGAGTGTTTCTGTGTGATGAGCTGTGTAATAATGGATTCGTGACCCTGAGATTATCTCAGCTGGTTAGACCGTGGTGCTAATAATGCCAAAGTCGTGGGTTTGTATCCCTGTGTGGGCCATTCACTTGAGAATAGGACTGGTGATCCTTGTGGGTCCCTTCCAACTCAGAATAATCTGTGATCTGTGATTAGCTGAGCTCCCTTTACGTTTCTTTATTTTTGCAGTAAAATCCTGGCAAAGAAATTATTTTTATTTCTTCCTTTCCCCAGATAAAGCCTCTTTGTTTGACATGGCAGGAGGGAAGGAATAAGAGAGCTTATGGGCTCCTGTTTGGGTCCATGTTTGAGTCATCTTCTCTGAAATGGCCTGTGTATGAGACATCTCTGAACTCCTAACGTGCTTAATTGACTTTATGAAGAATGGAACAGGAAGAAGGGGAATGCCCCCAATTGTGTATTTTTCTCTAGATGAACTAGCAGATGCAAAACATCCTTCTGTTTTTCTACATGTTAGTTTTCAGGAACAAAACTACTACAGAGTGCTGCAACAGTAAAGTGAAAAGCAGCTCCAGCAGCAGAGTAGCTGGAGAAGGGAGACTGAGCAATGAAGCAGTCCTCTCATTCCTAAAGTAACTAAATTACTTTCAGTCATCATAAGACCTGATTCTGCAAGAAGCTGAACTTCCTCAAGGAGGATCAAGTTCTCATTACCAAAGGTAGACATTAGTGTTGCTGCAAACGTTTCAGATACAGCTCAGTGGCTCAGTCCCAGGCCAGAGGGCAAGTGTAGTGGCAATGCTCTGTGCCAGCCCACATCTGGCAAAACACTGTCAAGTGGTTAATTTGTCCATTTTTCCTTATCCTCCTTTAATGTAGCCCAGGCTGGTAAAACTCTTTGAAAACTTACCTTTGGTGTGCATCTGTAAAAAGAAAGAACTGCACATATATAAATGCTTACATGAGTATACAGAGACGTGCATCTATACCTATGGATGTGCTTATATGGGAATATTCTTATGCTACAGGACTGAACCAATGAACACATTTGTATGGACTTCTAAATCAGGATGCCAAAATTCTTCTTATTAAAAGGTAGCTAAAAGATACTATATGAAGTACCCTAATACTAACTCCTTTTTTGGTTTTTTTATTGTTTTGTTCTAATGCTTTCTTTACTGAGGGCATAATTGGATTTCCTTCAGTACCAGTTAAAGAAAATTAATAATATTTTTTTATAAAAAAGAAGAAATACAATTTCTTTCATTTTCCACAGTTCAAATTAGACCTTTTCCCCATTTATTAAAAACCATCTCTGTTATTTTGGTTAAAATTTCTCTTTAGATGGGGTAGTTTTTCTTTTAGCTATTATTCTAGATAACATTTTTAAGTAAACATAAAATAATAATTTTTATACATAAAATGTCGTGTTTCATTTCAGTGGAAAAGAACTGTTGGAACATTGTTTGGGTTTTCTTCCTTATCCTAAAATGAGTTTCATAATAAAAGTAAGGGACTGGTAGAAGCATACTAAGTCTCTTTTTTTTCTTTTGGTGATACGATATGTAACCTGTGAAAATTATTACTGCTAGGCAGGGATTTTTAGACTGTGAAATTACTAAGTATCTTAGATATGGATTTAGGCTCTGCAAATTCTTGTTTTCTGGAAAAGACTTGGCCAATAACTGCCATGCTTATAAAGATATTTAGTCATGCAGTCTGAGTTGGATGCCTGGAAGGACTGTCTGAGAATCCCAGTGCCTGGCTATAGAAAACAAAGCAAAGCTGTCTGTTGGAAAGCTAAATCCAACTAACTTTCAGTGTGACATAGGCTGCCACCTGGGTGAAGGGTGGGCTTTCAAAGGAATTTGATGTGAGGTGGATGTGGGTGGATCAATGCTTAAGTAAGTTACTGCAGAAGATGAGCATTTAACTCAAATTAATTCCAGCTCAATTTCTGCTTCTACCTTCCTGTGAAATGTTTTAATATACAACAAGAGATTTAAATACCTTTGAAAATTGAATCCCATTTCTCTTCTGGAAATAAAATATTGGTCCTCAGTAAGTCACCTATGTAACTGGCAGTTAGTATTTCATCTGTCCTTATTTACTTACTAGAGACAAGACAGTGTGAGTGTTTTGGGTAAATTTTTTACATGTACACTTTTTTAGTTTTTCTTGGTTTTGCCATGGCTCAGCACAAAGCCAAACAAAAGACACAGCTTTAACTTACATTGGCTAAACCAGAATTCTTATCTGGGTGAATATAACTGTAAAAACCAGACATATGGAGTTGTACTGTTATCAAATTGTGTTCAGTCATGAGATGCCCCTGATACTTAAGTTAAAACTGATAGCCAAATTACAACCATAGGACATTTTCTCTCTGCTTTATTTTAACCTGATATAGTTAGACTTAATTCATCCTATTTATCAATTGCCCAATTTTTACAGTGTGAGACAAATCCTTATTTTAATGAGATCTTTGAGTATATTAGGATTTAGCTGATCACATGTTTCACATATTGGGTGAGGAGCAATCAATACATCATATTGTTTCACTATGGTGAGCGGTTATGAATCTTCTCCTAATGAAGTCAGCTATTGATTTTGCTGAACATAAGATTGAGTCCTAGACCTATGAAAGCACTTGGATATTGCTTTTGTCTGAGTCTTTTGGGTTTGTTTCATTTTGCATTTGGTTTTACCTGCTACTTGTTTTACACTTGTCATCCAGTTCAGTCCAGCCCTATGGTCAACGAAGACAGGGCAAATGTTTCAAACATCCTTTAAGATTAAATGAATCACTAGAGATGCATCTTTCTCTCAATTGATGATAGAGACAGGGTATTCTCCTGGCAATAGGTTAGCTACTTCTAGCAGAATTTGCTTACATATTGGAATTTTACACTAGCTTTGCAGATCCAGTAGACACATCTGCACAGATCTTATAAGTGACTTGGATTTTTTTTTTACTGAGGTGACAACTGGGTCAAGGAAGGACACCTCTTTGCATCTAAAATTATACTAGATATCTCTGCCTAGTAAATGCATTCATCTACTTGTAGCCAAATTCAAGAAAATCAAGTGTCAAAATACCTATTGGAGCCAGTGATGATCCGATCAGTAATATATGGGGCTTGGAAGAGGTTTATTCTCCTTCCAGTGTATTCTAAATCCAAGATCCATTTTTTGCCTCATGTGGGAGCTTTGACAGATAGAATACATGTAGACAGATCCACACATCTCCTAATCTAAAGCTAACTCAGCCCCTTCAGGTGACTTTCTAGTCCTGAATGTCTGGTGCCGTTTGAGAGGAACTAGGGTATCTCTGCAGTTCCAGTAAGGAGTCATGTCTCCTGTCTGTCACATCGTGCATCTGTTAGCCCCAAGCAGATATGTCTGATACCTGTTGGCTTTGCAAATTATAGTAAGTGCCCATCCAGAACTCCTAAGCTCTTGATGAGCTGAATCTCTTAAAAGAAAAAAAAAAATCCCATCTTCAGAACAAAATCAACTTCCTTTTCATCAGTGTAAGCCAAGTAGTTGACGTGTGTCCTCCACATCAACAAGAGTGTAGAGGAGGCAGAACTTGATCCCTTTTGCTCCACCATCTCATGCCATCACTGTCTATCGATGTCACCTACACAAAGCTTACCCTAAACAAGATCAGAGTCAAGTATTGTTCTGCACTGCCAGTTTTTCACAGATAAAGAGTTTTTTTTATTTTTCAGAAAGCACACTTAGTAAAAGACTCAAGCAAAGTGTGAGACCTTGTGAGGCTCTAAGACAAGTGCTATTTCAAAGCTTTTATGTGATTTTTTAATACCTACTTACCAACAAGCCAAGTGATATAGCTACATCCCTGTCAAACCAGGGGCCTTATCCAGAGTCTTTAGAGGTTGGTGAGAGACCTCTTGGTGACCTCTTGCACCATGCCCTTGAAGATTTTGGGGGTTTTGTTCACAAGTTACTATCACAGCTTCAAAGCATGATTTGTTCCCTGCACTTTACTGCACTTCCTTTCCCAATGAAAAGTTCTTCATGTCCTCTTTTGGTGTGGGCGGCCCCCTCCTCTGTGCTCCTTTTGTACATGAAACTTCTAACGGCACTGTTCTTTTGGGTCTGGAGTAGCTTTTTTCTTTTATTGTTTATTTTGAGTCATGCATATAGGAGCTTGGATATATTAATGTATTGGTACTTATTTTTGTGATCTTTTGCACTAAGTTACTCTGACAAAAAACAAAAACTGGAAAAAAAAAGCACACTTTCTGGTGAACTGTTGTAATTTGTAAGCTCGTTGTTTGTTGTTTGTAATGTACTGAGTCTACAAGCCGAGCTAAGGAAGGATTAAGGCAACAGTTTGTGTTGACAGTGTCACTCCATATCTAGTTCACCTGTTTTCTTTTTCTCTCCTTTTTGCTGTAACATATGGAGCTATCAGATTGGCAATAGGAGGCAGAGGAACTTGTTTTACAGTTCTAACTAAAATTACGATTTTTCTTCTGGCAGTCACAGAAACCAAAATGTCAGCTGTGTGTTTAACCAGAAGGGAGACTGCACTTCATCATGGAGATGTAGTCACCTAGAGATGGTGACCTCTAAGGGGAAATGGGGACATTAACACTCCAAACTAAAATTGTGATGAGGCAGTGAAGGAGGCAAAAGCCCTCAGAAAAAATTACATTTTTTGAAGGCACACATGGTAACCATCAGGTGGATATGAGGGTTTCAGGTATTTTTAGGTGGGTTTTACCATGGAGTTAATTACTAGTTAGCCTGCCAAAACATAGCCTTAGTTGTCCCGATGATTTGTAAAGTATCAGAAATGTGCTTCACACTTGGGAGAGGATTTCAAAGTTCTGGCTGATCCTGCTCCGACGCTCTCCGCTTAGATCACTGGAACTCTCCCAGATAACCCAAAGGAGAATTGGGGATGCTTTCCCTCAACAAATAACATTTAATGAAACACTGGGTTCAACAGGTGATCCAAAGCAAGGAGTTTGCTTAGAGACTTACCCCTCCCCATCCCTCCCTCATTTGCGGCAGCTTTTCTCTGAACTAATGGTTGCTGTTCACATTGCAACAGCATTTGCTTCTTGATATGCTGGTCATTACTCTCTTCAAAAATTTGAATCCCACAACCCAGAAGAGAGTCCATTTGATACGATTTCTGCATGGGAAATTATTTACTCACTTTAGCATGCCCTTTGCAGTTCCATATTACATCATTTAGGCTCAGCATTTTCTGATGTGTTTTGTCAGTGCTGCCAATGCAGCACACATATTGTTACAGAAGAAGAATGATTGTTTCTGAGGTAAAGCTTAGATACTGTCAGTCACAGTCTCACTTCCCATTCACAACTCAGTGTAGTACTCCAACACCCAAACCCGTATTATGAAGTTTCAGGAGCTTACAAGAGCAAAGAGGTGCATTTTTTTTTCAGACATCCAGTCATAAAAATCTCTATGAGTTTTGCACATTAAATATGTAACATAGACCATTGTATCTATGTGATAGAGAGAACCTTAACACTGTAGTACCATATCTGCTTTGAAACCCATTTCGTGAAAGAAACAGACCCAGCTTCAGACCTGGTTGTAATCCTGTTTAGGTCAATGTAGATACATCACAGATAAATTTAGCCTCATTTTGCCCTAGGCAAGGGCATTGATGATCTCCTGTAAACTTGGGTCAACATACATGAATTCAAGTCAGGACCTTATATTCGTCATCCTTTACTGCTGTCAGCAAGAGTTGCATTCACTGAAATTGTGTTGTCTTCTAGCAGCTCAGTTCCATGTAAGCCCATGACATGGCTTAAGTTACCTTCAGAAGTTTCTGGAAATGTATGTATGGAGAAGGGTGGTCTGTGGGTGGTGTCTTGCCAACTGACTTGGGAGCCCACCCACTGACTTTGGAAGGATTTTATGGGATTTTTCTGGAGTTCATTCCTGGGTGGACTGTGGTAAAGCGTACAATACTTGAAAAATAAAGGCACCCTAAAAAGCAAAGGAAAGAAAACCAAAAAGACAGCTGAGATTAAGTATTTGTAATTAAAAAAAACTGAATCTTTCTACAGATGAGCCCTTCATGATTCATTTTACTTTGTTTTACTCAAATTGTAATAACTAAATCTCTCAGAACTCTGTTCATTTCAGTAGCAAAGTGAAAAAAAAAATCTTTTTTTTGTTTTAATGGTCCATCCAAGGTTAATGTAAGAGTCTCTCAGTTACAGTAAAAAGCAAAATGGAGATTTAGATGATTCCTCTTTCACTATCTGGTTTTCTAAAGAAAATTCCACAGGACGTTGCCTCAGTCTAAGTCAGTTTTGTAGACAATGTAACATGTCTTAATACCCTGTTTGGGGGTTGAAAAAATTTAGCCTTAGCTTCTTTTGTTTTCTATGGTTACTGTTGTACAGAAGAAAGACTTAAACTGTAAGTAATGTATATTTAATAAAAAAAGACTTTTTGTATGATTTTGTGTGGAAGACAGATGCCTCCTCCTGTGTTTTTATTTTATCTTCTAGCTGAACGAACATTAAAAAGTGCTGATTACGGGAAAACATTTTCAGCTGTTTATATGTTAACTCTAAGCCAACACGTCTCACTGGATATTCATAAAAGCTGAAGTACCCACAACCAGGATTTATTGATTTCAGCTATGGTTAAAAGTTAATATCAGAGGATATCTGGTCATCACCCAAATACCTGACACAACTCATAACTGCTGGTTTGCAGTACCCAGTGTGGGGTGCATAAGGGCACAGATTCCCATGCTGGTTAAAAGTCATATCTGGAGAGATGTCTTGGTTCTGGTTAGAAAACATGCCTAGTCATAGCTTTGTAGCTTTCCAGGCACCCATGCACATGTGTGCACACACATGTGCTCTGTCCCCAGCCTTGCATAAACATCAAATGTGTCCTGCTTCACTCATGGATCCCCAGAAGGCAGAATTAACAAGGGTTTGTAGTCTTGGGTGGAGGTGTACTATTTGGCAAGACAGCTTTGCAGTACCTGCTTTGGGCTTTTACAACCACAATGCCCACCTCGTGGACTTGATCCAACCTTCCCCAGGCATCCCAGTCCACAACCAGCCATGCATCATGCAGGCACCAAAGCCATCCTACACCAACAGAAAACTGCTGGTGTCCCCTTGTAGGTGCAGGAAGGGGAGTTATACATCACTTGGCTTAGACAAAACTTCAAGTTACAATTAATCCCACATTGAGTTACTTTACTCAGGGAAAAAAAAAAAAAAAGCAGGGAAGAGCTATATAAATCTTTCAGCCTCTTCATAGCTAATATAGTGGGAGCAGTAACCTTTCAAAGGCTTGTAAGGGCAGTACAGACTCCTACAATTTTTAATCCAGACCTTGAAAATTAAGTTCGCATGGTTTACAGTCCAGAAATGTCAATGTGAATCATTTTCCATTTTTCTGAGTGGAGAGAGAAAAACTATCTTCTTCTTCCTTAACGTCTTATATGGGGGCTTTAGCATTCCCCATTGTTTTGGGGGAATTTGGGGTTTTTTGGTAGTTTTTTTTCAAAAAATTATGCTTCTTTCTTCCTGAGCAGGAATGCGATGAGTTTGAAGTATTATTCAGAAGGTTACATTAAATAATTGCATTAGTGTAATGAAAATGTATATATCTATTTGGCAGCCTGACAAAACATCATTTATTGCAGTTTATGGCTAGTTAGCAACGTCTGGAAGAAGGGACAAGATATCATCAAGGGTTGTGGTCAAATCTTCCTCAGCACCTGCTGTCCTTTTCTATCAGGCAGAACTGAAAAAAAAAAAAAATAAAAAAAAAATCACCTCTTTTGCAATTTCCACATGAGTAGCAGGTGTTTTACCTTAAAGCTTTATTCCTTCAACTAAAGGCCCATTGGCAAATGTATACAGGTAAATACCATTAAGTGAACACTGCTGTGAAAGAAAGGCAGGAGAGCCCTACTGCAGTCAGGTGTGATTTTTTTTTGCTTTTTTCCCACAGCATGAGTACTAGGCAGCTGCAGTCAGTGCTTATTTTTCTATACCTGTTAGCCTAGCATGTAATCAGGAAAAGCTGCCATACACGGCCACATTGTTCTTCCAAACCTCCATACCAGTGGTGTCTGTATTTAACTTTTCTTAGACTGAGATCATTTTTCTTCCTTTATCAAAGCCTAAGCTAAATAGCCTTTGCCTCAGTTTAAGCCCGTTACAGCTTGTCCTACTGACAAAAGAATGGAAAGAGTAGCTCTATCCCTTCCTGTCATGCAGCAGCCCTTTTTCTCTGTTTGACTGCCTTAATTATCTGTTTAGTTATCTTATCTACACAGCTCCCCATACTCTTCAGCTCCCTTGATTTCAGACAAACCAACCCCACTTCCCTTATGCCTTTCCTTGCTTTTTTTTTTTTTTTTTTTTTTTAACATATAGTCACAGAAAACAGCCTGGTAAGAACTTAATGTTTAATTTTACCAGCTGGGGTGTCAGAATTCACTGTAGTGCAACTAATCTACAGAAGATATATTTTTCTCTACGCCAAATTATTTTCCTTAGCCCTACTCCCTGCACCCTTTTCTAACAAAATGTCGTTAGACCTCTACGGTGATGGGGGCCAAACCACATTGCAAAGCCAAAACACTGAAACTACATCAATAGTATAACTTAGAGTCTACTACAAACCACTCACACACAACAGTATTACTACGGAAAGAAATCCATTGTGTGATGGATTACAGTGTTTCTGCCTCATTAGGAGGTACAAAGGGGTGGTCAGTTGTCCAAATTACCAGTTCATTCCCACTTTGCAAGGTGTTGGGCAATAGGAAATTAGGAGCTGACAGCTCTGTTAGATCTCTGCTTTATCCTTCACTTAACAAGGATACTATATCCAAGCACAGGGTGGATGCTGGATCTCTGCCATTACTAAGATGCTGCTACAGAGAAAAAAAATGTTTAGTATGGAAAGGATGCGGATATTTTGTGTGTTAAAGGCTTTAGTGTAAAATAATTTGTAATAAACAGGACAGAGCAGGAAGTGAACAGGATTTGATGGAGACAATGTGTGGATACTGAATGTGTGAAAGGCTAGAAGCTGCTACATAACAAATGAGGAATTCAACATGAAACAATTCAGCTTCAATAACCTAAGTTAACAGACTGCTGATAGTTTATATGGTTAAAATGAAGCACTTTTTCCTGAATGAAGGATTGTGTAGACAACTGGAAGTGAGGTAAGAATATAAGTGTT